CATCTTGTTGAGTCTTCCCCATTGGTTCTTACAGAGGAGAATAAAAAAAAAAAAAAAAGATGGTTGGAGTTATTAGGACCATTGTGAATTTGTTTAGCAAAAGGGATTTTTATTGTACTTTGAGTATTAAGCTCGGGGCCTCTGCTATGTGAGGATGCAAAGCGACCCTTCCAAGCTGTGTTTGGTTGGAGAAACAATGGCCTAGCCTGTACCCGTGTGTGAGGCCCTGTTTTGCCCTCAGGTGACCTGTGAACCTCCTGGCGCTGTCCCCAACCAAGTGCCACAATCTTTCCCTTTCTTGCTTGCAAGATTTGGGTTAGATTTTAAATATTGCATGCTTTGTCCCACTGTCCTCACGCTTTACTGAGCTTCAGGAACTCAGTTTCATCTGCTCGCCAGGCACCATCGTTGCAAGTCCAAGCTCAGCTCTTCTTAGGCTCTTTGCCTGGATCTGGGAGATTTCCAACAAATGCTGGTGAGAAGCTTGGGGAGGCTCTGGGCAAGTTGCAGCACCTCCACTGCTACCTCTGCACTCAACCTCCTGCCCAAACAAGCTCTCCAGCTCCAAAAGCTCCCGCTATTTCTGTTTGCCTCCCCAACCACTTCTTCATCCAACATCTACTCCTCTGCATGATCTGTCATGGCCTGTAGCATCAACGCTTGCTGAAGCTTTTAGGGACTGGCATGGGGCTGGGGATCCCTTCCCATTGCAGGATTGTCCCTTCTTATCATGGTTCCTGTGGTCAGTGATCAGTGCCCTGTGTGCTGGCCAAGGAGCCCAAGATTGAGTTTGAGCCTTGATGGGGTTTGGAGATATGCCAATCTCCTCCTCTGAGGAGAGGCAACCTCCTTTGAGTAGGAGATTGGAGGAGAATCCAAGAGCAGAGTGTAACCGGAGTGTTGCCTTCCAGAGCGAAGTGTGAGAGATGTACTTGCATCCTGGTGCACTTGGTGATCAACGGGAAATTGAGATGGCAAAGTGACTTTTTTGAAAGGAAGGACATAGAGCCTCCATGAGCCAGAGGAGTGTTGCTGCAAGGAAAAGATAAGTGGCAGGTAGAGGCTCCAGAACATCTTTACAACATCTTCTGGGAGATGCTTGACCTCAGATTGTTTGTTTGTGTAAGGTCTGTTCTCTCTAGTAAATACGGAGACAATACAATGATCTTCATTTTTTGCATAAGTCCATTTTTTCCCCCTTTTTTAACTGGGCTATATACAAACCAAAGAGGACAAGTCTTTGAGCGTGGCAGTCCAAAATCTTCAGCGTTGAGGTGGACAGTGCTCCAGGGCAGCATGGGTTCCTCTGAACCTTCTGCATTTGGGGTTTGCAGGTTGGCATTGGGGATTCTCTGCGTCCACCTGGCCACTGCTTCTTGCTCACAAGTTGGAGGAAACACTAATGGTTGGATTTGGGATGAGGCAGGGACTTCTCGCCAGATTATAAGGCTCCCCCTCCATCCGCACAGGGTGTTACCATCCCGTCTAAGGCAGGTTGCACAATTTATTTTCCTGTGCTTAAAGCGGGATTTTGGCAGCCGGGGTCGGGAGGCCTCTCTGAGGAGTGCTTGGCTGGGTGCCCTCCCGCTGTCCCGGGATCCTGCTGCTGTCGAGGCTCTGCTGTGTCCTTCTCTTCTGTGTCCTTCTGCCGCGGCGCTGGGGTTGGTCGAAGGGCCCTACCCAGTGCTAACTGCATCACTGGCACCTTCAGTGATGATGAGGAAGACCAGAGGACAACCCCACATGGGTGTATCAGGCTAAGGGGACACCCATCGTTTCTGATCCTCCGAGAAGGTCTTGCTGCAGGATATGTCTTCTGCTCTGTGACTGCCCTGTCCTTAAAATATCTTGACTTAATGCCCTGCTTGGACAGCGTTAACATTATCCGTGGTGATTTCATTGCTTTGCAAGGAGGACAGCAAGTGAGGCCTGTGCCCACAGGCTGTGGACGTGCCTGGATGAGATGGTTGGAAGTGGTGGATGGGCTTGCCACTGCTGAAGGATGCAAGGGTGAGGTGGCCAAAACAGCTGAAGAAAAATAAGGGCTCTACCCACGAGCTCAGGCCAGGGGATGGAGGAGACAGATGGGAAGCCCAGAGAGGAGCATGGAGCAGCCAAGGATGGACATGGGTGACATGCGGAATGGGCTCCCCAGGGGAAGAGGGAGAAGAGAATAGGAGGAGAAAGGAGTGGAAGATAGTGGTGATGTTGGGAGTTCGGGGAATGGGGGGACAGAAAAAAACAAATCACAGAATTTCCCAGCTGCCAGAGCAGGGTGGAGAGGCTTGGAGAGGATGTCCTATTTCTGTCCCAGTGACTTTGAGCTGGTGCTGGGACATCCAGGAAGATTTATGAGTGGGAGAAGCTGGGTGGAGATGACGGCCTGGGAGGCCTCGGGAGGGAGATGAGCTCACAGGGGAGTGGGTGCTGAGGGAGGTGAGGAGGAGGTTGGAGAGACGCAATGGGGCCAGGGCTGGGAGAAGGATGTGGGAGGGGCAGAGTGGACGACCTGGCACTGGACAACATGGAATGGGCAACACCAGTGAGTGGTGGCTTTGAGGGAACATCCTCAGGGATGGAGGTCCCTTTCAGAGTGGAATGAGCCTGGGAGGAAGATGCGATCATCCTGCTCCATCCTAGAGATCATGGAGAGACCGATGTCTCTATACGATTCATGATGAGAGATGAAGCCCAGACCCACCTGATGACCCCAGCAGGATTTTTCCAGGATGCTGGGGAAAACACGTTGATTGGATAAGTATCAGCACCCTCTCGGCAGGAGCAAGTCGCTCTCAGACTCACCATTAAGCCAAGTGGCCTCTTGAGCCAGAAAGGTGGCAAGTGGTTAAAGCAGAATATCAGAGAAGAAGCTGAGGAGAGGTTGAACCTGTCAGGGCAAATCACTGCCCTCAACTGCACCGTGTGTGGTGACACTTCCCATCCCCATTGCGTGGGACCACATGCTCAGCAGGAGACCAACACTGGGAAATAGAGCTCGGAAAATGCTGCTCTGCAGACCGACACCTTCCAGGGACATCGGAAAGAGGCACCGGGATAGCCTCGAGTGGCTCTGGAATTCCCTGGATGCTGTCCGTGAGGCTCTGCGGCTCCCGGACCGGCAACTGTCAGGAGATAATTCAGCGCAAGCTCATTCTTTAATGGACATCATGCATAGGAAAATGGCATTTCCCCCCTCAAACCACCCTGCCGGTGCTGAAATCTGTAGCTGTGAGAAGAGCCAGAGCGCGCGGCGGAGATGGGGTATCTCCGGGTGACATTTACAGGGATCGCCTTTCATCGCAGCTTGAAAAAATCCCGTGCGCGGAGATTATCTGCACGCCGATCTGGATTGTCTCGCTCCGCTCTGGCCCTCGTCCTAGATGGACAACGAGAAGGAAACTTGGCCCCTGGCCTGGGTTCGGTGGCCTGCCCTGTGTCGAGCTGGGATCGGGAGGAGCAGTCGCGGACGTTCTTGAGGACTCGCAGCCTTGGGAGCAGCCGGACGGTGTCTGGAGCCCATCCAGCGCGCGCGGCTGCTCCCCCGGCCCATCACTGCCACGGCGCAGACGGGATTTAATGTGTGTCTGCTTTTCCCCCTAACCTTTCCCCTCGCCGGGAAGGGAGAAAAGCAGCTCTCGGCTTTGCAAGGACCAGCCTCCCTCCGACCCCAAAGCTTTCCGGGTGGGCACGGTGGAGCGGGGCCAGCTCCACGCCGGTCCCGCTGTGGAGCGCAGCCGTCCCTCTTGGCCGGCGGTGCCGTTCCGCGGTTGTGCTCGGCTCCCTCGCGCCTCCCCGCTGCGGCCAAGTGGGTGAGGGAGAGCGGCGCTGCTTCCCGGCCCGCCTCCCCTCGCAGTGCCCCACTGCTTGTTAGTTTTCCAAATACTCGGACCCGCGGCGAGGACGCTGTGCTAAGCCGAGCCCAGGCTGGGAGGAGGGCGGGCGGGCAGGGGAGCCCGTTATCCCGGTGGCCGCGTGCCCGGCGAGCGTGCGGCAAGCGAGCCAGGGCTCTGTGGTGCCCAGGGATGCCAGCAGGGACGCAGGGCACCGGCGCTGCCCGCCCTGCACCCCTGCGGCATCCGTCCTCCTCTGCAGCCGCTGATCCATAGCTTGGCTCGAGGGCTGGAGGCTGAACGTGCCCAGCACCTCCTGTTCACAGACCCAACACCAGCCATGGAAAAGCCCCCATGGAGCACATGGAGGAGGAGATGAGCTGGTGGGATGCTGAGAAATGAAGTGAGGGCGGTTAGGGGAAGGAGGAAGAGAAGTCTGCAGGGATTTCTCTCCCTGCCTCCCAGGTCTCAGCTTCATTAGGACCCTTTGGGTCGCTGGCACCATGGTTCCCAGCTCAGCCGGAGAGGCAAGGCGGGGTTGAAGGGAGCAAGGCCGGCACATCGTATCCTTCAGCTCTGGTGGGTGCATCCAAAGGGACATCATGTGGCCGCCACCACGTGATGGAAATCACAGCGACCATCGCATCGGCCCCAAAGTGGGGCTAAGACTCAGGAGGCCTTGGAGCACCCCACGGCCAAGGGAGGTGAGTGTGTCCCATGCCCCCGTCATACACTGAGCTTAACACCCAGGGAGTGGGGCCAGCCCATTGCCACCATCCCTCTGTCTTCTGCAGCAGCCCCAGCTCCTCTCTTCTGGCTTAGGCAAGCCGAGCGGTGCTCCAGGATGCTCAGCGCAGGTCTCAAGCGAAAGGAAGATCCCTAATACTCGGTTTGGTCCCAGTGTGTGCCATCCACTCCGCTCTGGCATCAGCGGGAGCGCGACTGGTGCAGGAAGGCACAGCACAGGTCCCCAGCCTGCCACTGGAAGTGGACATGGCCCCAGAGGAGCCTGGGGGGTTCTGGCTTCAGCAATAAATACAGCAAACAGGAAAAACAAAACAAAACAAAAAAATACAATGCTCACTTTTTTTTTTTCCTAAACTTTAAATATTTTTTTTTCTTTAAAATCTGTTTTCCTCCAGGGCTCTGTCTCTGAAAAGAGCTGCCCTCTCCTTGCGGCGTCTGGGTTGCTTCCTCCAGTCCTGGCCGCAGGATGAGGGAAAAGAAGCAGGGTCAGTTAGAGGAGGTTAGGGCCGGCCTGGCTGCTCCCCGCCGGGCATCACCGGCACGTATGGATTTCCACCAGCCGCTGGCAGGGTTTGCACTTGACGGAGCAGCACCAGTGAAACTTGCAGCTGCACCGTTCCACCACCTCCACCTCGTCCGTGTGAAAGCCCCTGCCGCAGCACATGAGCTCACAGCCATCGATGGCCTTGGAGGTCTTGTTGCACTGGCGCCCGCTGGTGCCCAGCACGCCGTTCTTGAGGTCATGGTCACAAAAGTCGGGGCTGGAGTCCAGATAGACAAGGTCCTCGTCCGTGTGCGGCTTGAACTGGGAGTTCTTGGGCACCAGCACCTTGGTGGAGCCCACTTCGCTCTGCTCGACCTCTGTGGCGCCGTCAAATTTCTCTTTCAGCACGTTGCCCACTTTGCGGAAGGGTGGCATGGCTTTCCAGCATGTCTTGAACTCACACGAGCCCGACACGCCATGGCACTTGCACTCCACTCGCATGTTGTTGAGGATGGCCTGGAGGAGCACACACAAGAGAGGGGACAGGATGGTCAGCCTGGCATGGACAGAGCCCTGCAGCAAAATCAGAGGTCTGGAATAGATGTGCGCACAAGGAATGGGACAGGATGATCAACCCGGGATGCAGGACGTGATGTGCAGCAACCCAGGTCCCCCCATGGGAGCTGATGGCCTTAAGAGGAGCCCAAAGAACCCAACTGGTAGCTGTGGACCCCAAGCAGATCCCGCCAGCCTTACCTTCCTCCCGGCCTCGTTGTTGTGGAGGTTCATGAGCGCCCGGTTGGAAGAGGCGCCTTTGCTCCTCTCGCGGACGTCGACAAAGGACTGTGAGAAGGCCACACCGTAGGCGATGTTGTCGGAGCAGCCTGACCACTGGAAGCCTATAGCACAGAGGGTGCGTGAAACACGCTGCCCACGTTGAAATGCAAATGTATCGGGGAACGTGTCCCCGAGGAGGTTAGGGGAAGGAGAGAGACGCGAGAGCCCCGTGCTCACCCTGCGGGCTGCCCCCTTGCACCGTGCGGTCGCAGCCGCACTTGTCCAGCTCACCACTGCTGCAGGCCCGGGTCACTGCAAAGGCCACCCCTGCTGAAGAGATGGCGTAGACGAAGGCTGCCTCCCGGGTCCCTGCAATGACAGAAGAGGTGGTGGGAAATCCTACCAGCGACACAGGAGCTTTCCAGAGGAGCCTTTTCTGCCCCAAAGCCCATGCAGGAGACCCATGCTCCCTGCTCCCAGGCACGCGCTGAGCATCAAACCTGGCTGAGCATCAAACCAGGGCCAGGCTCAGCAGAGATACTGCAAGACCCTGCGCTGCAGAGAGCTGGGAACAGCGCTGCAGGGTTAAAACCTGAACGTGCTGGACATGGCCTGGCAATCAGGGAGGTAAGTGCTGCATTCATGCATGGGGACAAGCTTTCCAGGAGGGGCTGTTCTGCTGGCCTTGCAGAGCAGCTCCGAACTGCTTGGGAAATCCTTCCTCTGGCCAACACAGCTCTGCTCCCGTGGCCAATTTTCACATTGAGGAACATCTCCCATAGCTTGCACCTACCCGACGTCTTCTTGTACAAGGTTCTGTAGCTCCAGGCACCTCCCCAAAATTGGCCCGCGATGCTCCCCTTTGCCCAGTTTGTCCAAGACCTCCATGCATAAACCTGGGGGGTCTCCTGCATTGTCTGAATCCACTGAGGACACAGCCAGGAGAGCCGGTGAGCAGAGCTTGCCCCTTGCTCTCCAGTCAGGCAGAGGGCAGCTACTTTGGTGGTCGCCAGGCGGCCTTTGGTGGCCAAGCTGCAATCTGGCCCCCAGTGGCGGCTGCGGCCGGGGAGGACCCAGCCAGTGCGGGGACTGAAGCGCCTCCAAGTTATTCGAGGTTAATAGTAGGATCGTGTTGGTGGGTTTGTGCTGTGGCTGCTTAAAAAGAGGCGACTTTTAGTTTCTGGTATTTCTGGTATTTCCAGTCCTGACGCTTCGCAAGGAGAGATCTTCACCCTGGCCTCGAAGGGGAGGGCAAGCCGAACAGGGAGCTGGGGAAGGTTTGGACCTCTGGGTCCTGGGAAGGGAAGAGGGGACAGTGTCCAGCAGAGCAGAGCTGCAAGCAGCACCTGAAGGGAGGTGAGGACGGTCGGGGTCTCTAGAGGTTGAAGAGAGCAGGTTTCCCCTCCAGCTCCACACTCCAAGCCTTGCCAGGTCTCTCCCACTGCGTTCCCATCCCCGTGCTCCCACTCTGCTCCCCGTGGGTCACAGCCCCGTGCTGGATGCCTGGGATGGAAGGGGCCATCCCGGCTCCAGGCCTTTCCCTGGAGCAGCAGTGCGGTGCAGGGAGGACCGCTGTGTTTTTCCTCGCGTTGGGCGGCAGAGGGCTGTCCTCCCCCGGCCTCGCCAGCTCCCTGTGCTCCGCCAGCGCTGCCGGCACAAGAGGCGGGATCCGTCCCGCATCCTGCTGCAGAGGGAGGCTGCTCGGCATGGGGATCAGCCCATGGAGACACTCGTGCTCTTGGGGTCCTCCTTGAACTTGGCATGTTCTTGGGAGAGGAAGGCTGGGCGCCCCAGGCTGCTCCCTCAGCGCCCAGGTGCAATGGGCACCCATGGACGAGGCTCAGGAGAGGATGCACCGGTGTTGGAAGGACATTGAGAGCCTCCATGCACTGCCTCCTACCATGCAGCAAAACCAGCCCCAACCATTCCCTGCCGTAAGCCCCAGCGCTGGGGTCCTGGCAGATAAAATTCATTTTGGAGGCTCCCCACCACCCAGCAAGTCTTGGACGTGTGTCTGCCCAGCTCACCTTGTGTCACCACCTTCCCGAAAACGGGCAGCGTGTCCAGCGTGGAGCAGTTCCAGCGGCGGTTGCGGAACTGGTACTGGCACTCCTCAATGGCCAGCTGGGCGCCACGCCGCACCGAGTCCATCACCTCCAGGTTCCTCTTGCACATCTGCACCTGCCGCTGGATCAAGCCCTTCAGCTTCTCGCAGGTCTCTTCCTCAGAAATGCTCCCCACCGAAGAGAGCTTCGCCAGGTACCTGCAACGACAGCCCCCGCGACCCCTTAGGACACGGCAGCTTTGGGTGTCCCCCCAAGCTGGGGACACCCAACCTCTCCTCCCCGCCTTGAGGAGCGGCCATAGGGGTGTTTTGGGCTGAGCCCAAGCACCATCCCGCCGCATCCCTGGTGCCCCGTCTCGCGGGGAGCCAGTTCCCCTTTGCCTCTATTGCCTGCAAGGGGGAATATTTCCAGCGGTGGTTGAATGTGCCCGATCAGAGGTCTCCTGAGCACCATCACATCCAAGTGCTACTAGGAAAAACCCAGAGGTCTCTGGAGTCAGCCAAAACAAGCAGCACCAACGCTGGGCTGCCAGCTCCAGCTGCCACGCTGCTCCCCCAGCACGGCTGTGCGCTTGTCACCAGCAGACATCTCCCTCCAAAGGACTTTCCTCCCGCAGGATGGCTCCAGGAGAGCTCCTGAGAGCTTTCCCACCAGTGGGGTTTGGAGCAGGGAGGCAGGAGCCGGATGGAGGTGAAACCACCTGCACCAGGCACCTCTGCCGCTGGCCCCGCTTGCCATCACAGCTGCCGGATATTTGTCCAGGTGAGAAATGCTGAGGAGATGGATGTGGGGATGGAGTGGAGGTGGCCCCAACCTTGGGGAAGGATGCGCAGAGCCACTAGAGTGCTGGTGTCATGGGAGCCCCTTCGGAGCGAGCGTCCCACCAGCAATCTCCAGACACGCAGGCAGGATGCTCGATTCCAACACGCTGGATCCGACCGGAGCATCCTGACCCGGCCTCCCCAGCGCAGCCGGCACAGCCCAGCCGCCCGACCCAGTGCCCTGGGATGGGCACTCGCCCTTGTCCTCCTGCCCCAGCCTCACAAAGCCGGGAAGTCCTCAAGGCAGCACTGCCAGCAGAGCCGGGTCCTGCCTCGGGACAGGGCGATCCGCTGCCTTGCGCCGGGAAAACTCACGCTTGCCCCTCAGCTCCGAGGTCCCTGGGAATCGCTGCTCCACGCGGAGAGGCAGGAGTGCCAGGCGCAGGCAGCTTTTTGAGAATCTCATTCCTCGACTCTATGTTTCCCAGCCCTGCAGAGCTTGCGGCTTGCTTTATTTTTATTTTTTTTTTTGCTTGTTTTCTTTCTCCTCCTCCAAGTTACGACATCCTGCAAAGGGCTTTTTGCTTGGAAGCACTGCTTGCCTCCCAGAAGCGACTGTGCAAAAGCGGCCCCTGTTCCCAGGCATCCTGAGAGCCGGATCTGCTGACTTCAGCCACAAAATCCCGTTGTCACGGCCTCTTCCTCCCCTCAGCCCGCCCCAGGAGGAGAGCACAGGCTTTTCCCTTCTGTGCATCAGCAGAATTATTCACCAGCTCGGTTTCACGCATGCAACGGTGAGAACGGCGCCCGGGCTCGTGGAGCCCGCGGGGAGTCTGCGTGGCGCGTTGTCAAGAGCTTGGTGCTCCTCGTGCACACGGAGGTCACTCGGGGCAACGTCCCTTGGCCGCGTTCTCAGCCCCAACCGTGCTTTTAGCCTTTACACCAGCTAAAGAGCCTTGCCCGGGGCTTGCCGCTCCTCTGAGGGCACAGCAGTGCCGGTGGAGGAGCAGCCGCGCAGCTCTCCAAAGCTGAAATCGGGCTCTCCGCCTCCGTGCCAACACCAAATCCCAGCCCAACCACAGGTTGGGCAGAAGGAAGCGATGCCACAGGTGTAACAGCCACCTCAGCCTCAGCTCAGCTTGCGATGGAGGCGTCAGCCCCTTTCCTAATAAACTTCCCAGTTTGGTGGGAATCTCCAGACAATGAGGAGCTATAAATTCAGAGCCTGCAAGGAGAGCAGCATGACAAGGGCCTTTCAAGCCTTTCCAAGCAGATGCGCCTGATAAGACGCCTCCCCAACAAGCACTTAATGCTTTTTGGGATGAAAAAAGCACAAAGGCGAAAGATGCTTCAAAGATGGAAACAGCTCTCCAAGACAGGCTCTGCTAATTTGTTTTGCAAGGCAGGCAAATGGGATGAAACTGTCCAGAATGCTGCTCTGGCTTCTCTCCCCCATGGCAGATCCTCTATGTGCCTCCGCAGCCTGCGCACGTCCCCGTCCTCAAGGGTGGCCACCACTGCACGCCCAAAACGCTCTGGTCCACCAGAGCCACCAGCTCGCCACCCATCTCCTGCTTCCCAGGAGTACTGCCTTCCCAAAGTATTGCTTCTTGGCGAGCTCCCGTCCCGCCCCAGGATGCAGGGGTGAAACCAAGGATGGGTGCAAGGAGCTTTGCCAAGCTCTGGGGTGGCTGAGGAGGCTTTGGTGCAGCTTCGCTCTGCTCCCCGTCCCCACAGGGCAGGGACATCTCACCTTGTCCCCCTCTGGGGCAGGTGCAGGGTTAGGGAAGGGTTAGGGAAAAAGATGCTCTCCCCTCCCCAGCACCCGGGGGTGCTCCCACCCTCCATCCTCCCAGGGATCTTCGTGGGGCCGTGGAGCTCAGGAGGGCCACCAAAACCATCTGCAACAGCCCACAGTCACCATGGCAACCCAGATCCAACACCTCGCCTGGTCCTAAATAGGGAGCTTACTCAAAACTTCATTTTCCTGCATCGAGATGGTAGAAACCTGGGGCAAATCCCTATTCCTGTCGACTCACGTGGACAGCAAGACTGGCATGGCAGGAACAAATGACCCATTCCTGCCCAAGTCATTCATTCAAGCGTCACCTTCTCTCTTCATCACCACATTTATCTTTCTTTTCTCCTGCCTTTTCAATCAGACAAGTCACTTGCAGCACAAACTCCCATTTATTAAGGCCGATGATCTGAGCAGATCAAAATCAGCAGAAAGCACTTTTCTCCTTCTTCACCTGCAGTGTATTGAGCAAAGTCAAAGCTCCATAATTTAGGCACCTGCAGCTGATCCTACCTGCAGGGTGGCAAATAAGGCAACCTCAAAGCCAAGGAAGGATAAGAAGAAGGAAAAAAATTGCTTAAAAATGAAGAAAAGGATAATTTGGAGAGGAAGAACAACAACAAAGCATTAGAAGAGCCATGGAAGTCGGCAGATAGAGCAAGAAGGAGAGGGAAAGGGATTCCCCACCACGGGAGAATGTGGAAATTGGAGTCATGGACAAATCCCCAGTAGAGGAAGGCCACAGAAGATGTGTAAGATGTCATGGAGGGGGCAGAAATGTCACGTTTTCTCTAAACAAACAAGTTTCAGGTGTGAGAGCTGTCTCATTTGGGGAATGTTTCCATGAGGACAGCCAACAGGAGCAACACTTTAATCAGAGACAGTAAAAGGATGAAAGAGCTCTAAAGTTCAACCTTGGCTTGTGCTGTTGAGCAAACACCCAACCCGCCCCACCGCTGCCCTGGAGAAGACCAGGAGGTGAGTCAAGACCCCAAGAGCAGCATCCACTGGGGAAACTTCCTTTGAACACGGAGGAAAGACTTTCCCACGTCTTCACGATTCCAAGGAAGCCCTAAGAAACCTCTCCATCCACAAGGACGAGCTGCAGGAGAGGATGATGGCTCTGAGCAGAGTGAGGTAGATGCTTCCATGGCGAAGCTGAAGGCCGTTTTGGACTCACGGATTCAGGAGCAACCACTAGCCAGGTGCTACAGCGTGAAATGCCATTTCTTGCTGTCACTTGCATTTGCAGCTGTACCCGCAGTTTGCTGCACTTAAATTTATTTTAATAATAATAATTATTATTATTTTAAAGTCAACACGTATTTCTGATGCAGGAAGCTGTCACTTGGGTGCTCCCTCCCTGTGTCCTCCTGGGAGTGGGTGTCACTTGCTGCCCGCTGACATCCCGTGACCGCACCAAGGCCGGGAAGGGCCGTGTGACACACGGGCAGCTCTGGCAGCATCACAGGGGCTGTGGCACCCCTTGAAACTGGGCCATTTTCCACCAAGTTCTGCATGGCCCACCCCACTGCGAGAACAGATGCAACTGGGATAATTCTCCTGAACTTATACCCAAAATAAGCCTGCGGGGAGGGGAGCAGCAGGAGCACGTTGCCCAGGAGCGAGTGCACCTGCCGTGCGGAAAGGCTGGACCCGTTCCTCTCTGGGTGGGAAAGGGGAGAGTCACGAGGACCATTCAAAGAATCTTGCGCTCAACCAAAGCAAGGTGGGCTCGGGGCAAAGCCATGGTGGAAACCAGGGAGATGCACCTTAAAAAAAAGAAGGAAATGGCCTAGGGTTGCTTATTCCAAAGCCTTCACCTGGCAGTGCGTGCTCTGAAGCTGGCCCTTGCTTCCTGCTGAGCCCGGCCCCGAGGCGCCTGCGGAGCCCCGTGCAAGGCTGAGCATCTTGCAGCGCGCTGGGCTGCAAGCCGGGCTCCGAGGGCAGCAACCGGCGGCACCTTCCCCAAACGCAGGCGTGCACCGAGCGAGCTGCGAGCCCCAAACCCAGCACTTCTCACCTGAAATATGACCTCATGGGCTGCAAAGGAGGGAGAAGCCGAGCCTAGCGGTGCCGTGAGCGCCAGACATCCCTGCGAATTCGGAGCCCCGAGGCCCCCATGATGGGCAGCACGTGGAGAAAACCCCCCAGAGAGAGGAAACACCCCCAAAGTTCCCCTCCTTGCCAGGCAGGGAGCATCTTGGGCTGCTCCATGGCAATTTTGGCTGCGTCTCATCCAGCCCCAGGTCCCTCTTGCCTTTACTCGGGCCGAGGCAGCACCGAGGACGCGGCTTGGCGGCAAATGCCGGGCTCGAGCGTTGCGAGGGCGAAGCGCCGGTGGGAATGCGAGTTCGGACAGGTCGAGAGGAGGGAAAAGGCGCTCCGAGCTTAAGCACTAATCCAGCAGGTTTCTGGCAAAGCAGAGCTCGCCGCCCGGCGCCCACACCTAGACGCAGGCCGCGAGAAGTATGCGGAGAGCTGCCGGACGCCTGGGCCCCCCCGGCCTGCGGGAAAAGCCGGGGGAAAGCAGGGGCACGAGACGGGCGGCACGGCGAGCAAAGCTGTGCGAGCCGCGCTCATTCCTCGGATATCTGCTAGCTCCTGGGATCCTCCTAAGCCTGTTTATTGCCTCCGGCAGCTTTTGTTTCTGATGCGAGAAGATAAACAGCGGGAATCGTCCTAATCCTAAAGGCAGAGGATAAAAAGCACCAAGCAGGGCGGGGGGGAGGATGATCCTTTTATCCCGATACATTTGTAACATCCAAAAAAAAAAAAAAAAAAAGGAAAAAAAAAAAGGAAAAAGGGAAAAGAAAAGTCAAGCCCTTCTTTCAAAGGCACTGAAACGGATCTGCTTTTCCTCCCCTGTTGGCAGGAATGAGCCCCCCGCGCTGCCGAGTCCCAGCTGCTTCCCAAAAGCGGCCACAAGGGAGCCGCCGGGATCGCACCTCTGCGCCGGCCGCCCCAGACGCTTCCTTGTGGGACGCTCTCCCTGCGGGAAAAGCTCTGCCCCGCTTCCTGCTACGCTTTCGGCAGGAGCCCGGTGGCTTCAAGACCGTCCCCGTGGTGGCTTGGATCCCCCTGGCTCTCGGAGAAGCTCGCGGCGCGTAAGTCATCCCAAATGTGGGAGAAGGAGAAGGGAGGAGAGGGAAAGGAGGGGTAAATCCCAACACATCTCAGAGAGCTACCCAGGGAAAGCTCATTTTCCCACCAGCAGGACCCTTGGGCCAGTTCTTCCCCAGGGCATACAGGGCATCCTCGGAAAAGCAGTTCCAACGTGGGGTTGGATGCTGGCATGGGGCAAGACGGATGCCTCGTCGGCCTGTAGAGCCGCTTCCCGGTGCACACGAGTTTTCGGCGCCAAGCCCACCTGCCCGCAGGTTGTGGGAGAGCTGCAAGCGCGACGGGAATCACCCCCGGCTGAGCCGCTGCTCCGGCCGCTGGCAGAGCTGGGAATGGGCCGAGCGCTGTGTCCCACCGGCTGCGATCCAAGGGCGGCTGCCGTTGGAAGCGGTGGTGGGGGAAGGCACTGCGGGACCCCAGGCCCCCTGCCATGCAGGTCTCCCCGGAAGATCGTCCCTGCGCCTTGGTGAACACGCAGGAATTTTCCAGAGCCCTTCCTGCCGCCCCCTGTTTACCTTACACGTTATTCCAGTATTTGCTCAGCGGCTTCCCGATGTCACCGGGCTCCTCCACGGCCCACAGCCACCCTCGCTGTCCCCCCCGGCCCACACCGAGCAGACTCCGTCCGTCCATGAAGGAAGCTTGATGGCAGGACGCATTTCCCGGAGTCAAATCCCAAGGCCAGGCAAGCTCCGCTTGGTGCACTTGGCCCCTGCCAAATCTTTCCCGGGAGCAGTGTCCAGTGCTATCTGAGCCTGGATTCAACCTTGGGAGGGTCTCCCTGAGCCGCAAAGTCACCCAGCTGCTCCCGAAGCGCCGGCATCCCCCCAGCCACCCGTCTCCCCGTCTGCCCCGATGCCGACGGCACCTGCTCCATCGCCGCTGCCCCCGGAGCAACAAGTGACGGCGGCGGGTGGCGAGCGGTGCCCGCGGCGGCCGCTACTCACAGCCAGTTGCTGGCGTTGGCGGAGAAGGTGGCGAGGATGATGAGCAGCAAGGAGCGCAGCGAGTACTCCGGGCTCATCCTGGAGCGGAGGAGGAGGAGGAGGAGGAGGAAGGGGAGGAGGAGGCGGCGGCCCCCGGGAGCGGCAGCAGCCGCCGCCGCAGGTGGGCGCCGGGCGGCGGGCACTGCCCGGTGGATGCGCCCGCGGCGGCCGCCGAGCCCGACTGTCAGCGCGGGCGGCCCGTCCCGGGATGGAGCGGCGGGCCGGGGCGGGCCGGGGGCGGGGGCAGCCCCGGGGGCGGCTCCACGCGGGGCGGGTCCCGCCGCCGGGGACACCCCCGGGGCGGGCGCGGGCGGTGCCCGGGGGAGCGCGGGCGCAGCGGCGCGGGGAGCCCGCGCGGGGTGTGCTGCCCTGCAAGGAGAGGGAGACGAGGGCTGCTTCTTCTCTGTCTTTGGAGCTTTGGGCCCCAAAGGGAGTCCTGCGGCGCGGTGGGAAGACTCGGCTCAGGATTGTTTTCCTTGTGCCCCTTCCTTGCCTTTTGGGAGATGCCCAAACTCTGCCAGGATCCTGTGCCCTTGTCCGGTAGCGCCGATGCCGCTCGCTGTGCCGGTTTCTGTGGTTCACAGTCAAGAGCTGGCTCTTGGCTTCGGTGCTTGCAAACTGGCCACCAAGGAAGTGGGAAGCCCTGGTTTGACCTGGTTTCTATCCACAGGGAACATCCCTGGGGATGGGGTCGCAGATCCCCTTGTTGCCCTTGCATAGCCAGCCACAGTGCTGACTGCGCTGTGTACATGGGAGGTGACACTCAGCCAAGGCTCAAGCGTTAAGTCCTCATTGGAGGTTGTCTAGAAAGGGCAGTAGATTCCCCAAGGGTCCTGGCAGGGCTTATGGAGGCCTGGTTTGCCCCCACTTCTCCATCCTTCTCTTGTGATCTGCCCAGGTGGACATCTGCCCCGGCCTTCCTCAGGCTTCCCATGGACTGAGTGTTGAGTCAAGTTCTCGGAAGGCAAGATAAGGTAAAGGGAAGGGGAGGTTGGAGGTTCTTGGGTGGTTCCTGAGAGCGATATGGGTGTTTGGGAATATCATGTTTTGGAGTGTTATTTCCACACAACAGGAAAAGCCAGAGGGTCAGCAGGAGCCGTTGGGCTGGGCTCAGCACTGGTGCTCTGTAGGGTCCCACAGGAGTGCAAGGCACCATCCTATGGGCCATGCTGGTTGGTGGCCTCCACAGTGTGAGGAGCATCCTTGCACCAGGTACTCCTGGCCCCAAGGCCAGCATGCCCGCAGCAGGGTCTGCCTTGAGCTTCTCTTGGACAGGATGAGGAGGGTTGGAGCATGTCCACCTGCTGCCACAAAGGACCATCCAAATTCACAGAGCGGGCAGAGGGAAGGCGGACAGAGCCGCACCCGGCGTGAGTCAGCCCCAAGGGAAGTGGCCTGTGAGCTGTCTGTGGAGATGATAAGAGTGCAGCGGGGTGGGCAGGGTGTTTATTTTACTGACTCCACGGTGGAGGAGATGAGTGCGAATGGATGAGATTTGGAAACAGCTGCTCATGGGGGAGACAGGGGCCCTGGTCTTTTGAATGATGCCCATGTGGAGCTACTCCTTCTTTGCAGGTGCCTCCTGCAGATTGAGCGCTTTTTGGCTCTTTTCCCAAAACGACTTCAAGCAGAGCTTATTTAGGGGATGGAATGACCTGGATGCAGCAAAGGGCTTAAGCTGGTGCCAGGTTTTCTGGCCCTGTTCATTGGTGCAGCAGGGATGTTTCCCTTGCTGCCCGCCTGGGACCGTGTCCACAGGGTGAAAAGCCCTTGTGACCTCCAGCATGGCTTGGTGCTCGCATCCCCAGCCACGCAAGGCTGATTCCAGTGCTGCTTGGACCTCTGAAGATGAGCACAGTTGGGTAGGGTTTCTCAAGCCTGCCCAGGTGCTTCTGATCTCGAATGACTGTGGAAATTGCCATCTCTATATGACAGAGGAGGACCAGGTCCCAGCAGTGACAGTGGAGGTCTGTTTTGCAACCCCAGGACTGAATCTACTGTCCAGACATGAAAGGACAGAGCTTGTGAAGGTCTATGGAGACCCCACGCTCAAGACAGACAGGCAGGCAGCATGATGGCTTGATCTCTGGATCTGACCGTCTCCGGGTCACACAATCCGTAGGAGATATTTTACACTTTCTTCTGGACTGGCTGATGTCCCTGGGGTTTATCAAGCAGGGGTCGAAGTGGGGTGGCCTGCAAATCTGGACACTGGTTTCGGCCATGGGAGAAGTGTGAGAAAGAGCAAGGCCAAACTCACCAACGAATCTGCGCGTGCGGGGCTTGGCGCTGAATAGGAATAAATCCTGTTTTGAACTTAATGGAACATAAATATCAGACACTTAGCAACAGTACGTGTATTAATCCTGTCCCGGAGAAAGGAGAAGCTGTTCTGAGAGCCTCCAAAGCAGAAAACACAGGACAATTGTACTCCTTTATAGAAACTTGTGGTTTTTCTGATGAAATTTATTTCAAACTATCCAAACATTTTGGAGCTGCTCTGATGCCTGCTCAGAGCAGGGGCTGTATAGGAGCGTGGCTCGCAAACAGAAGCAGCTTTGCAAAGATGAAAATTCCTCCGACAAAAGAACTGTGTCCAGGGCATTATGAACGGGAAGCGAGCTGTGCTCACTGCAACCTGGTCAGCCAGGATGTGTGAAAAGCAGGATGACGGTGGTGATAAAATCCTTACTTGTAAGGATTATTATTATTTTCAGCCTGCAGCTCTGCGCGGATTGCATGCTCGGCGATGGGCATGGATTTGCAGTGAGTTTTCGGAAAGCATGGGCTCAGGTGTTCGATCCAAGAAAGTCTGTGCATGAAAATCAAGATGGAAGAGCCAGCAAATTCGGAGCTTCTTGTCCAGTATGACATGGGGAAAAATGCTCAAGATTTAGGATCTCTGCTTCTGCATGTGGCAAGCGTGCCCTGGATTTGGGAGCGTTGCCCGTGCGGGAGTTTAAGAGCATCCCTGAGCATCATGAGCTCTTTCCAACAATACCAGCGTGAGAAGAGACAACTTTTGAACCCGCCAAAAATACCCCTTTTCATAGGGCTGCGAATGAATTGTCCCTTGGCTTGTGCTGTCTTCAAAGCAGATTGTGTCCCCCTTCCAGGACTTAAAATACACCGCAACTGGCTTCCCTGCTCTGCCAGGTGCCGTCCAAACCAAACAGTGCTGCTGAAACGAATCTCAGCCAAGGTGCTGGACCCCCTGGGTGTAAATGGCAGTGCATGTGCAGCAAGCCGGAGTGACAGCCAGCTCCTGCAACCTTTGCCCTACTCACCCGGTCTGAGGAGAAGGCGAGATCACTGGATGGATGGATACATAACACCACAACCAACTCCTCTTCAGTGCTTATTATACCTCCAGGCATTTGGGATCACCAAGACTTCATCTCTCATCACGGGTGTTGGAGGGGGAAGCTGTGCTCATATGGGTAGGGGAAGGGGAAGCATGGTCTTCCAAGCTGGCCATGGCCAGGAGAGGACTTGTAGAAACATTGCCTAGAAAGCTAAGGATGACTCGAGTTGGTAAGAGCCCCCTAGATGCCACAGAACCAGATGGTAATCTCAATGGAAGAGTTTGCCAGCCTTGACTCTTCATTTCACCTGTTAATCAGCCTATGTCCAGCCACCCATGGCTTTCAATGGAGTTGAAGACATTCATCGCACTGCAGATAACAACCTTGTCCTGCATTGTATTTGGGTGCTGGTGTTGCCCTGTCTGTCTTGTGTGATGGTTTTCCAAGGAGGCTGTGGGGATGTGTCCAGATGCTGTTGTTTCCTGGTGCTGCCCAACGTGCCACCCAACCTGACACCCACGAGCTCTTGCTGGTGTGTCTTTGTCCAGCTGACTTACTCCCTGCTAGGGAATGGCTAGTCACAGTACAAGGGAAATCTGATTCCAGGGAAAGGGATGGGGGAAGCTGCCCCATTTTGTAATGGGGATAGCCTGACCATGTGGCGTCTGGCAAGGCTCTACCACTTGCCTCTAAGACCATTGTTCTCTGACCACTTTTTCTTGCTTATGTGGACATAGCCTGCTTGAAGATACCAACTCTGGCGGGGGGAAGGAGTAGAAGAAAATCAAGGAACAGAGAAGGGCTGACTAGGATATTGGGTCTACTGACAGCAAATTGCTGATGGAGAAAATCCTCTGAATGTTAGTGATCAAGAAAAACTGGGCCATAGAGTCCCAAGAGAGAGCCTGTAACTTCTTTCCAGGACAAGGGCAGAAGCAAGTGACATGTGTTGTGCCAGGCGAGAAGTCCCAAGACCAGGTTCCTTGCTGGATCTCAACCAAGGCATCTGGCTTTTCCATGAATAAATTCTCCAGTCCTCATCTTGACAGTGGGGCACCTGAATTGCTTTTGCAAAGCTCTTCAAAGGCCATAAGGATTACCAATAAGGAGCTGTTTCTTCTGTCTTCGACTACATCAGACCCTGTGGTGCAGCATGGCTATTTTTGGAGGGCATTAACCTGTCTTCCCACATCCCTGCATGGCGTATGCTTTAAATGAGGACAATGTGTCCCTTCTGTATCCCTTTCCATGGATTTTCAGTGCTACACTTTGTGTTGAACCATCTCTCTTATTGCCCTAAGGTACAATCCACATCCACAACACAGAGGCAGCAGGAAGGTGATGTGTGAGCAGCCTACTGGCATCTTCTGGAGAGTTGGTCCTTCTCTTGATGGGGTCTCTGACGTGCCTGTGGAGCAAAGTGTTGGCTCTTGCTCTCCAATTTCTTTTGCTACCAGCTGACCACAGTGTGTGAGCAGGACACTGACTCCTGGCTGAGGTGAAATGCTGGACTAGGCTTTGGAAAATACCCTGGGAACAGGTTGCTGCACTCGGACCAGCACCAAGTCCACCGTCTTGCCCAAGCACAGTCAATAATTGCATCCAATTCCATACCACAAACCTGGTTGCTCCTAAAACCCGTCAGAGCTGAACCTCATACAGAGTTGTTGGGCTGTCTGAGGATCTTGGACTCTATTCTGAGTGGGACACTTCTTTGTATTTTAAGTAATGTTCTTTTCAGTAAGGACTAATTAAACAACGGAGCAGGAAATGTAAGAGACTGTAAAATCCCCTCAGCTGTCCTGTGCATTTCTATGTAAATATGATGGTGAAAAGATGAAAACAAAAGCATTTAGAGACAAAGACAAGTAAGGGACCTGGTGATGCAGCAGTGAAAAATCTACACTTTGTTATAATCAAGCAAAACCACTGTGTTTATCCTCTGTCTTGGAGGATTTTGGGCAATTATTCATAGGCGGGGGGAGAAGCCACATAGAAATCAGAATAGTCCAGATTTTTGCTAAAATATTTGTACAAATCAGGTTATTCAACTACAGCAGAGGGCTTCATTTGAGGCTGTTGTTTCTGAAATTATCCTGCAAAACTGGAAGGACCGTAAATGCTTGGCTTTAATAGCTAGCTGCATACAATGCAAACCTAATCAGTGAAGCTTGAAAGGTCTGTGACAGGGGAGAAAGGCAGAGTTTTATGGCTCTTTCTACTGAAGTTGTAGGGAAGGCTGCATGAGAAAGCTGCCCAATGCACGGGGAGAAATACAACCACAGAGCTCCCATCCGCTGAAGCCGCTTTGCCAGTAGAGGCAACAGGGACAGTGTTTTATCAGCCGCCTTTCACCTGAGTTAGGAGGAACTGCAGCATAGAGGTCTCATCTCACCCAACCTCCCTGGCGTGCCAGGGTGGCCTCCTCCACCTTCAGCTGCCGGCTGCATGGCTTTGGGGCAGGGACCCAGCAGAAACAATCCCAGCAATCCAGGGAAGAGTTGGGGGGTCACCCCGTCTAAGTTTCGGTTTTGCCTCCAGCAAAGGCTAAAAATGTTCCACATCACTTAGAGGTGTCAGATTGTTTAGCCGTAGGCTGGGGACGGCCCTAAGAGCATCTCAGTTACACATTACCCTGAATATCTCAGCAAATTACTTGCAGCTAATTGAAACGAAGGAAATGTGGCGGCTTGGCTTACGCCGTAGGCTGAATATAGCAACGCGCCCACCAAATCTTGCACTAATCATAAATCAGGATTTATCATCCCACCTGGCAAATATTGACCTCAGTGCTTTTCTCCTACGTTGATAGAGCAGTGTTTGTCCCAGCTAAAGTCGAGCGTTTCTTATGAACATTTCAGCTCTGGAAGTGCGGAGCCTCTAAATCATCTAAGATATGTGCCCCAGGATCCCAAATCCTTCGGTCAGTGGTTTTCAACCTGCTCTGCAGAGTCTGATTCTTCTGTTTTTTTTTTTCCCTATGGCAATGTAGCTCCTTCTAAAGCAATTGAATTGTACTGATAAGAGACTCCAAGTTGATGAGTTACTTTCATGGACCCTGCATAAGTAGGGATTTGTGGAACAGAGGTTCAAAAGTGCAGATTCAAGAGATACATGACAGACAGTCTCTCGTCTCACTGAATGAAAGGGGTTCCTGCATCACTGGACAGATGTGCTCCAGAAAATTTCATAGCAAATGTCACCAAGAACAGGAACACTGAAGGCAACAAGAGGCTGTGAGTACTTGGGGAACTTGTGTTCACCTACCAGTTCAGCTCAAAGTTGGGAAAAAGTCATGTAATTGAGAGGACATGAAGTCACTCGCTGTCAATGTGTGCATCGACTGCCTCTCCCCACCACATGGACAGTGCAGGGACATTCAACCTTGGAGATTTCCATCTGTGGCAAGGCGCTTTGGTGCAATAGGGTGGCCAAAGCCTGGGGATCGAGTCCAGCTGGTTCTCAACTGGGAGCAGGGATCTGTAGTGCTGAAATTTCTCTGGAGCAGAGCAAAGAGATGGGTCTTAAACACCAGAAAACCAGAGTGACTGGGAAAAATGCAGCGGGGCTCAGACACAGGAAATTTAGGAAGGAGACAGGATCAGAGAGGTACATGTTTGCAGTCTCACTCAGGTTAATGGGAAAGAAGGAAGTGGGAATGGGAAAGCATAAAAGAGAGTAGAGACTCCAGGACTTCTTAGAGAAACTTGAATAACAAGTGGGAAGAGAGCAAAATGAGGGGCAGTGTTGTCCATGCCTCCATTTTTCATTTGCTCCTTTTGCAGTGATCAGTACTTAGGAAGTGATCAGTACTTAACTGTAGCCACCTGTGCAATAGGCATCAGTAGGAAGCCGATTGGCCAGGTTCGTTATGAAAAAGGCCTTCATGAGCTGCTTGCTAGGTTGGGGCAAGCCCCTTGAGCATCTTTCCAGGGTAGCTATGGCAGGAGCTCAAGCTACTGAAGGCCACAATATTGCTGCCACAGATGCTAAAAGGCCTAAGTCCAGCCTCCAGTTGCGGTGAGAGACCCATTAGGCCCAATGGATTCTCAATTGAGGCTCAATGGATTCCCAGCTGTAAGTACTCATGTTGATACACATGTCCTCTTCCATCCTGAACGCACTGTACAAAGTGACAGACCTTTTATGAACTGGTTGACATTTGGATGTGATGGTGGCACTGCTTTCTCTTGAAGGCATCTCTTGGGCTTTCATGTGAGTGCAGGATCACTGAGGATTTTCTGAGGCACGAATTCATGGAGACCACGTCAAGGGGGAGAGCGTCCAGTTTGCAGTGGCCAGGTGTGTGCTGGCTAGGACACGCCACTAGAGGGGGACACATCCATGTGTAATGGGACATGGCCACCAGCCACGAACGTGGACCTTCAGAGTGGACATGGTGCGTTGGTGGCCATGTGGCCTCTGTGGATCATCGCCATCTAAGACCTCCTGCGCCCTGGTTGCCTATAGCGCTGTGTGGCCATGGGAGCTCATACCTGGCCATGGGAGGGCAACCTTCCTGTAAAACACCGAGACCGTTTTGATGGTGGTGGAGTCAATACCCATGGTGGAAGAGGGAGAAACCTTGCTCATCTCTCTCACTGTTAGCATCACTCTGAAGTTTGTCTGGCCTTTTCCCGGTTTGCAGCGTGGTCCTGTGCTGAGTCTGCTCAGCACTTGGGGTAGGATGCAACCTGTGGGGAAGATCTGGATCAGCCCTGACATGGCAAGCCAGCGATTGCTTGTGTTGGGCTCCTATTGCAACGGTCTCTGGGTCAGTGGCATGGTTCAAAGAGTTCCTATGTCTCTGCACAGCCAGTCCCCAGGCTGGACAAGCTACTGCTAAAAGGAGTTACCCAAGTGTTATCTCATATCCTGGGTTTTCATGCCAGATTCTGGACTTGCACTTCTGGTTGGATTTGTGACACCTCAGGAGCCTCAGGACATGTCTCTCATGGTGTTCCTCCACCTGCTCCAGCAGCTCCAAGCCACCTCTGACCAGGACAGGCAATAAAGATGCACCTTACAAAATCCCTCACTTTGTCTACAGGGTTGGCAAAGCTCAGCCATGACTGCAAAACGGCCAGGCATTGTGCCTGGAGAAGGAGGAGACAGAGCCCCAGCCTCTCAACCTCATCAAGCAGCCTATGCTGTTCCATGGCTCCCGCTGCTGCATATCCCCGCTCATCCCCGCTGCCGGCAAGCGAAACCCTGCGTGTGCGTGGGAAGAGGAGGAATGTCCAGCATGTCTGTCTGTGGGATGATGTGCCAGGTGTGTGGGAGGGTGGATGATGAGAGAGCTCCCGGGCGGGCGAGCGTGACGGTGCGGAGCAGTGCGGGCACGCATGTCGGTGTGTGTCCGTGCATGAAGGGTTCGGACACGAGGGATCATCCGGGAAGGGGGTCGGTGCAACCCCATCCATGTGGGTTTTGGGGTGGATGGAGCTCTGTGTGTGTGTGTGTGCTGAAGGTGCCTGATATCCAATTCACTGATTCTACGTGAGTGAGAGGCTCAGATGGAGACTCCTACTCAGGAGACAGGAATTACACGATACAAATTCCAGCCTCTCATCCCAAACTCACAGAGATGTTCTCCAAGGCTCAGCTGTCTCCTTGAGGTGAAACAGCATTGCTGCCACACAGCCATGGATGTCTCATGGATGTCTTCTGTCAACTGAGAAACATCAGAGCCATCTCCCAGACCTGAAACCTACTGGGACCTACAAGAAGACATGTCCTTTCTGCCGGGAGAACTGCAAATATGTTGGGGGCCCAATGGACTTCTCCCTAACCTGTAGCTATTTTATTTATTTACTTATTTATCTATTTATTTTAAATAGAACAAATCCTTCCTTGATGGGCACGCTAATCTGGAGTACATAAAGATATCTTGGGGTGCTGGGGACTTAGCTGCAGGCCAGAGAGGGCTCGCTCTTAGTTCCACTGTAATTAGTGGATGGTTGACCAAGTAAACGCTCTTATGTGTAGTGAGAACCTCTCAGAAAATGTGCTGCCAGCAGCTTCAGTTGGCTGGTGTCTGCACGTTGCTGTCCTCCTGCCATGCCCAGAGCCACATCCTCATGCCCTGTTCATTGTGACAACCCTGCTGTCCTCATACAGGAATTAAAACACATTTTTGCTCAGTAGGATATGAACACTGTGAACCTTTTTCTTGTTGGTTTTGATGATAGTGGGAGATCCAGGTACCTATAGATGCACGTAGAAACTCAGCGAACATTTCGGAGTCTCTGCATTAAGAATCTTTTCTCTTTTTCTGATGTCAAAACTGAAGCAGTGGTTGCCCAGTTTCTGATTGACAGCTCATCTTTTGGCCCATAACCTGCAGTAGCACAAAAAACAAAAAGCCCCAATTTGCTTTCTTTGCTGAATGAAGATGCACATTTAAAAAGCTTCTCTTGCAAACCTCACATTTTCTTCAGCTGCTTTGCCCTAAGTCCCAGAGGTTTTGTTTGTTTGTTTGTTTCTCATCTGATAGCAAACAAAACAAAACAAAACAAAAAAAAAAAAAAAAGAAGACTTTAATTCCAAACTCTGTTAAATGAATTGGGAGTGATGGCTTGTGATTCCCAGCAGATACTAAGCAGTGGAATTACTTTGCATTGTACTGACTGATTTACTGAATCCTGCAGTCGTTTCTTCTAATCAAATGGAAGGTGTTCTAAACTGCTAGATTTATTGCTAAATGAACTCCTCTATAGCATAAAGGATTACAAATCTCCACAATCGATTGCACAATGAATAACTCCTTTTATCACTCCAGAGAAATATAAGGATGGGATTTCAGGCCATTAATTTTTATGGGAGTTCAGTCCTAGGGCTCCTTGGGGAGCTTTGAAAATCACAGCCCTTAATTTTTAATTTTCAGGCCTTATAAACAATGCTATTTATTTGGGTGTGCCTGTGAGCTGAGGGCCAGTCAAACATCAGTTCTTCGTAGGCCCTGCCAAACACTGGATCTTGCGGAGTTTATTATTTTAATCTGTAATTACAGCGGAAGAGTCGAGCCCTGATGCACAGCCCATTTCTCTGCTGGCTTTTCCCTGGTCCCTGACCTCGCTTGGCTGCAGTTGGTAGGGGACCCACCCCCCAGATCTGTGAAGAGGGTCAGAGATGGGATGTGTAAGAGCCAAAAGGGTAGTCTGGGGAGGAGAGCTTGTTCCTGCTGGGCCTAGGCGCTTGTGGACCTTGAAGTGACAGCTGGGGCTTGGAGGAGCCAAAGTGAGTTTTGGAGGAGCTGTAGGTGAGCAATGCCTCCAGGGCTGCTCCCATGGAGGTCCTCCCTGTGGATGCTGTGACTTCCAGGATGGGGAAGTAGCTGAGAAAATCAGGGGTGAAGCAGCTCTCTGCCCATCTCAGTGAGGGGACAGGAGGCAGGAGAGCCTGGAGTGCTCTGGTGTTTGCTCTGGTAGAGATCATGGGAGTTTGATCTTTGTCCTGGATCGCCTGCAGCCAAGATTGGAGTTGGCATCCCATCCATGCCCGAAGCAGATTTGGAAATGGGAACCTCTACCGTGACCTTTATCTTTCTCAAGAGACATGGCATTGAATTCCATAATTCCCTCGGGGAAGAGGCATCCGCCCAGAAGGGTGTTGTGTGGCCTGCCCTGCAGTGGCTGGATTGCCCTGGCTCACATCTTTCCAGCCTGGATTTACCTCTTGCTCCCTCTTGGTGCTGCCAGGTGCTCGGAGAGACCCACCGCTGCTGGGGGGTCCCATCTGGTGCAGCCCTGTGCCACAGGAACTGGTGGACGTGGCCAGGCACCAACTTCACCGAGGTGGTGCTCATCAAGGGAGAACGTATCTGCCCAGAGCTTTGCTCTTACCTCACCTTCTGCAGGAGCTCTGCGGCTTGAAATGAAACACAAATCCTTGGGACTGGACTGAGTAGCAGCATTGGAGCAGAAAGCCAGGGAAAGTCTGAGAAAAAGAGCGGGGAATGAAAGACATCCGCCCATGTCTGCCAAAGGCAAAGGAGAGGGATGTGAGTTGTCTCCCCTCCCTTTTTGGCTGTCTGTGGTTTGCCACCTTGGCTGTTTGTGACAAGGAGACAGTTTGTGGTTCTCCTCATTTGAGGTGGCCAGGGATCCCCATCCGCTCAAAGTCAGGCTTGGGAAATGCAGGTGGAAACTTTCAGTATCTGAGGCATGAAGGCAGGTAGGACATGGAAATGTGGAGGCTGGGTGTTTGGGATGTCCCTAAGGCACCAGTGCGCTGGGGGACACCGCGACATCTGGGAGCTTCCTGGTGGTAGAGTGGAAGGAAGGACCTTCCTATCCTTGGAAGTCCTATCTAGCCAATGGGCACTGCAGGTCTGTGAGGTCCTCCCTAACCCCTTGCAGGAGCCATTCCCAGAGGCACCCTGGAGAATAGTCATCTGCCAGGGCTTCTCTCTCCTCCTGCTCCCCTCTGAGAAATGGGCAGAGAGCAGCCTCGACGTCCCCAGAAGCTGCTTGGAGCCCAAAGCAAGCTCGAAACCAACAGGCAACGTTGGGGTCCAGCACCCTAGGGATGCTCCTAGGCACGAGGAAGTCCCTAACATCTCCCAGGCCTCCGTGGATTCAGGTGGGGGAACTTTCCAGTGACCCCTCGCTGCCAGGTGAAGCCGTGTTTGTGCAGTTGCCCGGCGGATGAGATGTATTTATAGCTGTTGTTAAATCATAATCGTGCAGCTGAGGGACTGGGCCGCTTCCAAGGACTGCTCACGCCGATCTGGCGGCGGATGGAGGCAGGTTACATATTTACACATTAGTTGAAAATGTGGATTCTTTCCCCCTGGGGCTCAGAATGGCTCATAGGCAGCTGCTCCAGCCATCAACTCAGAGCGTATTTATTTGTGTTTTTTCAAACATTTAGTCAGTATTTACACAATAGACGCAATATTAGTAATATCTGCAATAATTTATATGGCACCAAATGGGATTTCTCACGGCCAATGGGCTGTCAGGGGACTTGGCCCCTGCTCCCTGTTAAAAGCTCAAAAAAAGTACAAATTAACAAGCCGTAAAATAACATCTTCATATTAAAAAAAAAAAAATAAAATATGGCCAGATCCAGGCGGGTGCTGAGTGACTGTGACAGTCCTGAGGTTGCTGGGAATGGAGGACGCTCAACATTTGTAGAAATCGTGCTCGCCTGCACGGGTTTGTACAATGGGTTGTTTGCTGCCGCTCTAGCCTGGACTTCAGTGTCATCCTCTGATGGCCATGGTGGGAGCAAATGATCCCGCAGAGCCTTGAGAGGTGTTGGAAAGCTCCCGTCTTCCTCATTTCACGCTGCTGAGCTCCATCCGCAGGTGCCCTTGGCGAAAGTTGGTGACAGGAGGCAGCTAAGTGTTGGAGCAGAGAAGGACCAGGGCAACACAGGCCAGCAGCTCCCTTGGGGAGTGAAAACAGTGCACATTTGTCATTGTCAGGGCTGGTCCCCACAGCCAGCCCCAGTCCTCTGGGACCAACCAAACTGCCCACTGCGTATTGGGAGCACAGTTGGGTGTGACAAGCTAAGGTGAGACCATTTGGGAACACCTTCATGTTGGTTGCTATTTTCCCATCTTGCTCTTGCAAAGCAAGCAAAGGCTGTCCTTGCACCTTAAACCAAAGGTGACTTTTTTGTTTTTTTCTTTTTCTGGTGAAATTCTCCTGGTGCCAGCTTGACCTAAGCTAGGCTCAGCTCCTTGGGGACTACTCTTTTGTCCCTTGCCCTGCAGCCCCAACAGTGACTACAGCTGCCCAGGAGATACAGGGAACCTTGGACAACTAAGCCTTTGGCATCCTCCCTGCTTTCCCTTCCCTCTGCATCTCCCCTCCCACCTGCTCCTCATGCCTGGGAATGTGGCCATTTCATCCTTGTCATTCCCAGTCTTCTTGGCCCATGGACATCTCCAGAAGGGTTGCTGTTCCCCTTTGACCCATGGGGCGAGACCAGGGTGGTGGTGGGGCAATGAGATGATGGCAAAAGTTCGTGGGTATGGGATCAGGGTCTCTCAGCATAACGTAACTGTGGGGCATGTGGTCCAGGGGGGCCTGGGGCGCCAAGAGGCGTGTGTTGTGTTTCAAGCAGCTCCACCGTGTCCCTGCCTCTGCAGCCACTTGCCATATTCAAACCAGATGCAATATCCGCTTGTCAGCAGCTTAGCGTGCATGGGGAGATTTCATTCATATGCCTTGGACCTATCCCAAGCCAAACAAATGATGGAAAGACGCAATTAACCCAATCTCAAGTCTAATCCACTCTGAGTGCCTCTCTGTCCTGGGCTCTGCCTGCTCCACATGGTGATGACTCCCCTTCAGATACGTATGAGGAGATGCTGGACACTTGGCCAATGGAGAAAGCTGTGGTCACTGGGAGCTGGGGACTGGCTGACAGAGCTACTGCTGGAGCAGATAGGGCCCAGCATGAAGGTCTAACCTTTGAGTGGAGGCAGCATCGCACCCTTGGGTGTCCCAGGAACTTATGGCATGGGGCCTGCTGCCAGTGGGAAGGGGCCAGGTCACACCCATCAGCAGCTCTGAGAGAATGGTAGTGGCTCTGGGGTGCCAGTACAGTAGGGACAAAGAGGCCATCCCTGGAGAACAGGAGGGCTGAGCTCTTTGGAGAGCTGTGGCAGGCCAGAGGTGATCCCAAGAGGACTTGGATGCTCTTTTATGGGCATACTGGTCCAGTCTACCAGGGATGTGGCCAAGGCCCAAACGCAGTAGAAATGTGCCTACTTCACCTTTGGATGTGCTTCATCTGGATGTTCTGCTTGCCTTTGAGCTCAGAATTGGCTCCAAAGTGCTGTCAGCTGTCCCCAGTGTGACAACTGTCTTCCTACAGTCTTTCTTGTCCCATCATGCCACTTTCCCTCCTCATAACCCTCTTGCTGGAGGCCAGTGGGGTCTTCTATTTCTGCTAGCTCCTACTACTCATCTTCCAGAAAGGGCTTTCTGTAGATCATTGTTCATAGGCTTTGCTTGCTCTTCAGCGTGGCGCCCTTCTTGTACGGCAGAGAAAAGGCTCTTACACACCACATGCGTGGTCCTCCTGTCACTGGGTGTCATCTAACTGCAAACTTCATTCCCAGTTTTCTATGCCTTTGTTTAAGGTTATCATCTACTGAACCTGGCCTTAGTCGGCAGATGCATCCCTGTCCCTTGATGGGAGCTTCAAAGCATGGTGGTGAGGCAAGAATTCGGCCAATTTTTAGCCAATGGTGGAAACACTGAGTGTTCCAGCTGGCTCTAGGCTGGCTGTCTCTGCCAAGCAAGTCTCTCTGACTCTAGTGGCTTGTCTTGTTCAGTGCCTAGTGGGGAGAGAAGCCAAGGAGAAGCTGTCTGTGACACTGCATAGGGAGCCCAGTGAGAATGTCCCCTGTGGGCATCCCCAGTTCCCATGCAACTGGGAACCCATCCCCAGTTCCTCATCCGGCT